CTATGAAGGTTTATATCCTTGTACTGCCCCTATATAGAGGAGAGACACAATAACAAACTTCCCAGCTCAATACATATTTGAACTCTCTAGTTGGGAGAATGGGTACAGTTTACAGACAATTAAACTTTTCCCACCCATTTTGGCCATCAGTTTTATTAACCACTGTGCCCTCCCTTTCAATACCTGTACGTGTTCCTTATTAAATGTTGTAAGTGGACTGATTCAGGGTGTTCTTAATCCCCCCTCCCTGCCTCCTACCTTTTATAATTCTTCAGGCCAACTAGTGGTCATAGTTTAAGATATCCAAAAATGGATATCCATCATTATCCACTTAATGGATATCATCATTATCATAATTATTGTTACCTGGGTTCCCTGAACCTAAATTATTCTGTGTCCTACCTCTCAACAAACAATTGCTAGCATTTTGCATGAGTTTTGAGGATGGTAACTTGTGTCCCTAAAATGAATAATCTACAGGAATCCATGTCACAAGCTGCTGAGCTCGATGAAGGCATAATGGAACGAGTTCTCCTTGGTCTCAATAGTATTCCATTAGGGATTGTTTGCATTTCCCATGTTAATTTTTCAGTATGCATCCAGAAGAGCCAAGCATGGGGTGGCCCCAATACTACAAAGTAAACAGGTATAGACACCTTGGATGAATTAACAATGGAGTCCTCACTCGGCCATCTTAGTGACAAGCTGTGACTGTTTTGGAAGCATTGCTAAGAGCTTTCTCTGTAGGGTAAATGATGGGGTGCTGTGGCCCAGCACTGTGACCCACCTGGTGACTTGTGTCCTTCTGTCCCCTGCCTTGCCCTCCACCAGAGGTCCCACTTAGCCCACACCTGGTCTTACAGAAGGTCACAGCTTTGACTGTTCCTGCCTAGCCCTGCCTCTTCCTAGTCTCACATGAAGGGTGCAGGGAGTATGTTACAATGCAGGCTGCTTTCCATGGGGCAAAGGGATCAGAAAGTATCAGTCCTGTCTTGGTCACATGTGGATAGCCAGCCTTGCTCATTTAGCTTGTCACAGTCCTGCCTATTCAAAAGAGCCTTGGGGGTGCTGTCACCACCACAGCCTAAGTCCAACCACTGGTCAGGAAGCTATCTACATGACGCAACAGACCGCTCCTGTCTTGCCCGTTTCTTCCCTCAGCATTGTATTTCAGTCAATCCGCCTGTTATGTTCCCTACTCTGTCTCTGGTGAATCCTCTCACCCCCGCACCTCTGGCTTACACCCCGATTCTTGTTTGCATAAATAAATAAAAAGAAATCTTAAAAAAAAAGAAGTCAAAGAAAAGGACAGACTCAACCTTCACATCTGTTTACCCACTTGAACATCACATGCTTGGAGCTGGGTTTCCCTTTGGTATAGGAAGGCTCTAGATGTTCACATTCCCTGGGTGGGGTGGCTCTTCCCAGCATGTGGGCCTGGCTGGGCCGACCTGCAGTTGGCCTCTCAGCATCCTCATGAACACAGGCTGCCCTGTACGTGGGCTTCCTTAGGAGAAGTCAGAACAGACACTAGAGGACAGTTAAGTGGATGCTCTATACTTACTGTCTCGGGGGTCGTTGGCTGGTCCTCTCGGGCATCTCCTCCTCCAGGCGTGGTCTTATCCCATAGTTCAAAAAGGATCAAAAAAGCTAGGACATCGGAAAAAGAAGCTAAGAAGTTGAGCCGGGTGTGAAGACAATGCCAAACGGTCAAATGCCACATTCTGGGCTGGCAATAAGAAGACATTTCTAAGATGAGTGATTTCAGGAGATATAGGGATTTGCTTGACTTGATTTACTAAAATGTATCTGTGCGAGCTGGGTCTGTATCCATGGCATCAGCTGTGTTTCCACGGCTACAAAAATAATTATCCCGCCCCAGTCTTTGCAACAGGGAGGTATTTGGATATGATCTTAAAATTGCTTTGTGATTTAAGGAATTTTGAAGGAACTTAAAAAATCTTTTAAGAACTTAAAGAGCAAAACTTTGGATTAACTTTCTCTGGAATTGATCATGTTTTCTTTTTTAAAAAAATTTATTTATAGGGCCTCCCCGGTGGCGCAGCGGTTGAGCGCTGGGTTGCGAAGCTGCCCGCGGCCTCTGTGGTGCCGGTTCGATCCCCGGCTGCTCCCCGGCCGCCGGAGGAGGGTCCCACATGGCGTGCAGACCTCTCCTGCCGCCCGCTGCTCCCCTCAGCAGTGTACTTCGGTCCTTCTGCCTGCTCTGCTCCCCGCTCTGGCTCTGGTGAATTCTCTCACCCTCCCGCACTTCTGACTGTACCCAGTGCTTGTATAAGCAAAACAAAAAACAAACAAACGAACAAATAAATTTAAAAAAAAAATATTTATTTATGCTTACAAGAACTGGGGTATAACCAGGGGTGCCAGAAACAGAGTGGGGAGCAGAACAGGCGGATCTACTGAAATCCACTGCTGAGGGGAGCCACGGGCAAGACAGGAGAGGTCTCCTGTGCCATGTGGGTCAGCTCCCTGGCTGACTGGGGATCGAACTCGAGCTATCGTGGCTGGCAGTAGCTTGATAACGGTGACTTTAAATCCTGCGCCACTAGGGAGGCCCTTGATCATGTTTTCTAAGGACCAGAGGAGAGGGCTCAATGAGGGAGATGTTCCTTTACTGCATTGTGTGCTTCCTAACCCCCGAGTCCATCCTTGGCTGGAGAGACGGCAGGGCTTTCCCGGGACCCACATGCTGACTGGACATCATGGGTGTTCCTGATCAGCCCTGCCCTATCTCCCACGAGGACTGCTTCTCTCGAGTCCCTCCCAGATGACCTGTCTTCCTCTCTCCTGGATGAGCAGAGACTCGGGAGCCATTGCCTTAAACAGCTAAATGGAAAACCACGAAGACTCAATAGAAAAGTCGCAAAAGATGGAAACAGAGAGAAGAAATGGTCACCTTGTGAGCACACACTGTGTAGCTGCTGGGTTTATGTGAGTCCCGAGGGAAGATGAGGCCGATGCAGCTCTCCAGTCTAGGGCCCTGGAGTCAGGACCTCGGAGCATGGGAACGGGCCTCCCTGGACTGGAGAAAGAAAAGTGACCAAGGCAAACTCCAAGTGTGTTCCTCCCAGGAGAAAGGGAAACACAGGCCAGCTACTCCCAGTGTTCTGCTCCCTCTTGCTTGGTTTCCCTAGGAAGACAGCAGTTAGCGGCTCATTGCTTTCCTCCCTCAAGAGTTCTGGCCCTGTCTGTGATGCAGGAGGCTCCACAGCATGTCAGGGGCTGCTCCTGGGAGTGGGGAACTAGGTGCACAGGCTCAGCCCCGTCCTTAGCATCAGGCTGGATAAGGAGGCTGAATTCCACGTGGGGGCAGGTGTCAAGGGTCTCCTCCTTCCCTCATTCATTCATTCACACATCTGTTAATCACAGAAATATTTTGTTGTAATTGTCGGTTCCTGAAAGGAATCCTTTTCTGTCTTTTGAGGCAGTGGAAATCACATCCAGAGAGCCTGGCGGCCAGGGCTTGGTAACGGCACAGTCACTGAGGTCCCTCCCTCACCACCCAAAGGGTCTGCTTTTCTTCCATGCACACAGTGACGGGAGTGTCGAGTCCTGCTTTCTAACCCAGAAACCCTATGTGTGTATGTGTGTGGGTGTTGGCTGGACACTCTAGGCCTCAGAGCGACAGCTTCATAGTAAGTGTCCCCCAAAAGGAGAGAGGGCAGGGCCTGGTCAGACAGGGGTCTGTTGGTCCCACAGGCTCAGGGGGCCAGGAATCGTTCCTTCCCAAGGCTGCAGCTTCCAATCCCTTCTCCACTTGTGTCTTTGCCTTCATATTCTTTGGTCCTGGCCCTGGAGTCAGGACTAAACCCAGTGTGGCCACTGGCAGTCCGGGGACTTTGGGCAGGCGGCTCAACTTGCCTGCCTCAGTTTCACCATCTGGAAACTGAGGATAATGGATCCCCTCTCCAAGGGTTGGGAGCACTGCCGAGAAGGCATGGACTGCACTCAGAAGAGTGCTGGGCTCCGGGTCCCCAGAGCTTACCTGGTGCTTACTGTTTTGTAAATGTTTGATGGGTGGAATTGTGGGTCCCACATAGGGGATTTCTTGCAGTTTTCCTTTATTGAAGAATCCCTACAGCAGAACTACGAGGGCAGGAATAATGGTCCCACGAGGCTCCCTGGTGCCTGCATTACAGGTCTTTTGCTAAGTAGACAGTGATCCTTGATGAGCTGGTCACTGAAAGCTTGGGCAACACAGTGCGTATCCGGGCTGGGGTGCCAGTGGAGGGGTCGGGCCAGGCTGGAGCTGCGGGCGCCGGGGAAGGATCCCGGGAGCCCGGCGGGCAGGAAGAAGGATGCGAGGCTCTGAGCGTGTAGGCTACCGTGGGCTTTTCTTTGGGGGACAATCGCCGACTCCGGCAGTTTCCTGAGTGCGGGCTCAGGTCACAGCCAGGCAGCCCCGGCGCCGGAGCCGCCGTGGGGGCAGGGCTCGCGAGGGACGCGGGCTGAGGCAAAGCCGGGGCGGGGCGCAGGCGCCTCTCCGCGCACCCCGCCGCCGGCGCCCGCCTCGGTCAGCGCCTCCCCGCCGGGAGCAGGCGTCCCCGCGGGCCCCCACCCGCCCCGCGCCCCGGGCCCCGCGCCCGGCGGGAGGCGCCCCGGGTGTCGCGTGCGCTCCGCCCTCCCCGCGCGCCCGCCCCCCCGCGGGGCCGGGACTGCAGCACTCGGGGTGCGGCGCGGCCGGAGCGAGCAGGTGGCGCGGCGCCGCGCCCGGGGACTGCAGAGGCGCTGCCCGAGACATGGCGGCGGGCGCCGCGCGCTGAGCGGCCTGCGCGCCCGGGCACCGGCCGGCGGGGGCGCGGGCTCCCGTCCTCCGCCCATCCATGCGGCGCTCCTCGGCGGCCGCTTGGGCCGGGTAGCGGCCGCGGCCGGGGCGCCGCGGGGCGGCTTCGCCCGCCCCTTCCCCGCCGCCCGCGCCCGCTCCTGCGCGCCCTCCCGCCCCCGCCCCGCCCCGCCGCGGGCGCCCCCCGGCACCCGGCCTCCGCCCGCCCGCCCGCCCGCCCGGCCGCCGCGGCGATGGCCGCGGAGGAGGCGTCGTCCAGTGTGGACCAGTACAAGACGGAGATCGAGAGGCTGACCAAGGAGCTGACCGAGACCACCCACGAGAAGATCCAGGCGGCCGAGTACGGGCTGGTGGTGCTGGAGGAGAAGCTGACCCTCAAGCAGCAGTATGACGAGCTGGAGGCCGAGTACGACAGCCTCAAGCAGGAGCTGGAGCAGCTCAAAGAGGTGAGTGGCCCCTCGGCCGCCTGCGCCCCGCGCCCCCGCCCGCGCCCCGGCTGTTTTTTTGGACCTCGGGGAGGATGCTGTGTGGAGCGCCTGGTCATCTGGGCGCCCCTTGTAGATAAGAGGGACTGAAGGAGCCCATTGTCCAGCCTGCCAGAGGAAAATTGCCCAGGAAATGCTTGCGGTGGCTGGAATTCTGGAGGCCAGGCTGGCAAGGCCGTGGGGGAGGGGGACCCTGAGTCGGATCATCCGGGAGATGTTCTGCGGACGGGAATGGGTAAATCAAACTTCTCCAAACTGCTGTTGCCTCAGCCCAGGCTTCAGTGACGACCCCATGGGACACAGAGGCAAGGAGCAGGTTGGGACCTGCACCCCAGTGTCGGGGATGGACTCTTGGTCCCTCAGCCTTGGCTGAGGTCGCCCCCCAGCTGGTGGGAACACTCCCCAGCCCTGGGACAAAGGCTGGGCAGCCTGCATTCTCCTTGACTGCAGCTCTCCATGTCCAGGGCTGCTGCGGAGGAAGCGGCCCCGTGGGGACATCCTGTTGTTGACCTCAGGCCTGCTGTGCCCCGGGCTTCTAAGGTCACCCTGACCAGGGCCAGCCAGCTCCCCTGCAAACCGGGAAGGGATGGGGGTACTTGGTACCTGGGGGGCTGTGCTTGGCAAATGAGAATGTCCTGTATTTATATGACCAGGATACCCCAGGTGGGTCATGCATGCACCTGTCCTCTTTATTCTTTTCACATTTGGCTTCTTTGAAACACTCGCTAGTGAAGTGGAAGAAAATAGCAAACATGCTTCTGCTTCCTGGCAGACGCCTGGGAGACTGTGCATGTGGCTGGAGGAGCTGGATCTGTTTCCCCCCGGCTTCCCGAGGCACTGTGGGTAGCAGCGCACACCCTGCTTTCCCTGTGACAGGGCTTTATTTTTAGGTGCCTTTTGATATCTTGCATATTCTAACTTGGTAGCTGATATAAAAAAGGCTTTTCTCGTAACATACTCAAGGAACTTTTATTTGGGGGGAGGTGTCTTATTTTGTGTTGTTACAGTTAAAAAAACATGGTTCCTGACATAGCTGGTCACCTCACCTTCTAGTTTAACACATGATGGTAAGCAATTCCACTTTCTGTCTGATTTTTACTTGGAAAAATGGAAAAGCATATGTTTGCCTAATGGAAATGCATATGTTTGCATATATAATTTCCCCCTCTGGGGTTATCTATTTTTGTGTATCAGGTTGCCAGTTTCTGGTTCCTGTGTTTCTTGCCATGTACATGTCTGTTCTTAACAACAGTGGGGCTCACTGGTATTTCCAGCTTGGAGTATATCTGTGGCCGCTGTATCTAAATGCAGTGGAAGGAGGATGGGGCTCTAGTTCTCAGGATGATTTGATGTCTGTACCCCAACAACACTGCTTTTCCCAGACAAGGAAGTGCGTGTGGGCATACTGACCATCACCTCCTTGATAAAAGGGGTGGAGGGGCCTGCATTTCATGAAATGGAGTATTCAAACCGTTGACAGACCTGCTTGATTTAACAGCCCTACCAGGGGCTTTCCTGTGTCATCCAGCTTACCCTGCATGGTAAAACTCCAGGCGATGTCTCTTGCTTTTGCTAAACATGAGCTCTTAAGATACTTTGCATCCAAAGTCTTGAACACAAAGCCTAACACATAAGAGCATGCAACAAATAATTTATGAAACACAGCATCTGTAGTGGAAGCAGATATACCTTTACCAGGTTGTTATCGGTTAGTGTCAGAGACAGACTGAGGAACGCTGGGCACACAGGAAGGCGCCAGTATCCTCAAAACTACCGATATTACTTTCATCAGCAGTCATGGGGAAAATCAGAAAAAATGTTTTCTAGGAGAATATAACAGTGGCCTCCTTATAAAAGACAATGGAAATACCTATTTTTTTTTCCCCTGTAAAAACCTTGAAACCTGTTTTATTTTACATGGCAGGAGGTTAATAAAAATTTACTAAGATTGTTTTTGCCAGATGATACTTGTCCACATATGCATTTTGAGTTGCATTTTGCATAAATAGAATTCAATTTAAGTTCTCGATGACATATCATATATAAATGTACTTTAGGGTAATGAAATTATCATTATACTCGATTATTTGATGATTCATGTGCAATAACAAGTGAAACCTATCCTCTTTATCCTTTCAACATGATGTGTACTGTGGGCAGGAACACTATTTAAATGAGCTGATTAGGTCTCAGTAATATTTCCTGTTTGAAATGAAAATTCAAAATCATTGTACAAACTTAAGATATACCAATGATGACATCATATAGAAGCCGTTTTTGAAAGACATGTTTTTGAAGCACTGTGATTTTTCAAAAGGAATCTAACTGATGTTATTACATTATAGCTATATAGCCAAATATAAGAGAACTCTTTAGCTTATTTCTTGGCTCTTTCAACAAATACAATTCATTTTAAAAGCCTAATTGGACGAGTTCTGGAAATGTCCACAGAAAACACAATGCTCCATCCAGGCTGGACATGAGTGATTTCCTGTCCAACACAGCCTAGTCCTTACAGGTCACCCCTGTCCCCTTTGTGTTGCTGCCCCCATTCCTGGGTCTGGTTCTGCTATGGGGATGATGATGCAGGTGAGTGGTGGTGCCTGATGTGTGACATCAGGATGATGAGGTCATGAATTTTTTCTAGTTCCATATTCCCTGGGTCTGATTACTTTTGCACCTGGCCTGCTGGTCCTTGGGGCTGTGCTTTGGGCCCCAGGGCCCTGTGCTCTGTACCCACAAGAACACTTCCCTGAGAGGGAGTAAGGGTCCCACAGAGGAGACCTCTGACATCCCACCATGTTGGTTCGCTGCTGGGCAGCCACACGCCCAAGCCAGCCCTTGGCGGGGCCTGTGATCCGTGAATAAGGCTGCCTTCTAAGTGTCCCCAGGGGCACCACTCCTGATTGTGTATTTGGGATGTGAGTAAATAAACACTGTGTCTGGCACCCAGGCCCTGCCAGAGTACTGCCTGAAGATGGGCTCTCAAAACAACTTGAAATCAAAAAAATATATAGACATTTGAAAAAACCTCAAATGTAAGGATTTTTTAAATTTTAATTGTTAAACTTAAAGCAGTGATAGGAATCTAAGATGTATTTTTATTTAGAAAGAGTCTGTAGAAGGGCATGATTCAGCATTTTTGGTAACATTTTAGAAAGCCTTTGCAGTAGGTTACTGGGGACCCTTTCCTGAGCATCTCAGCTCCTGGTCTGCCCGAGACTCCAAGGATGTCCATGGCGGGTGGACAATATGTGGTGGGCGCCCCACAACCTCTTCGCGCCTCCCTAGCGCCATAGTTGAACCCTCTAAGAAATACACATTGAACTTACACGCTTTTAGGGATTGTCACATTAGGGCCTTGATGAAAACCTCTTTAATTATCTGGATTCAGCTTTAAGGAGAACCGGTTGTTTTCCTCACATGCGCGGACAGATTCTCATCATCTTTGCTCTCCTTAAACTCTAAGTCATAGAAAGACCCTCTCCCGAAACAGCTTTCCAGGCCACGAGTGAGCATAAAGTTAATGTTTTCTTTTTCATCTAACCTAGTGTTTTTTCTCATTGTTTTTTTAAATATGAAAGGTTTACATTTATTATCATAATCATTAAGAAACCCAAATTAGATCAGTTATATCCACATATGCTTTCGGAAACTGTTTATAGCCTCCCCCTACAGTCATTTTCAGACACATTTCTTTCTTTTGACTCAGTTGCTCTAACTTGCAACATTTCTTCTTAATTTTTTTTTTTGTTATTATCTGTTTATTGAGAGGATGTCAGTTTACCACACTGGACACACTATTCCATCTTTCTGTTTGGACTCAAGATTTCACGTAAGGCAGAGTTATTGTCCAGTTATCAGTCACAAGGGTTTCATAATCTCTCATCATCTTCGCCAGGTTTGCATAAATGTGGACCGCAGCCATGCTTTGGACCTATTTTCAGAGTTTCCTGCTAATAGATATTCTGCCCTAGGGCCCCTAAGTGTGCACTCTGGATGTTGGAATTCAGTGGCATTGAATTCCTTGTATGTCATTCATGACAGCATGTAAGTAATTCAGTCACTACTTGGGTGTTGAGAGACACAGCAAAGGACTTTTGCCCCGAGACTGCCCCTGTAAATGTGGCCCTAAAGGAGAGGAGGGCGTGGGGTGTCTTGCTATTAAAGTGGAGGCAAGCCAAGTCTGGGGGCAGCAGGTGAAGTCGGGAAAACGGTGGCCCTGGGTCTTAGGAACGGTTGGGACGCTTTGTGGCTGCAGTTGGTGCCTTATGCCTTACCTCATCTAATCTTCCAAATAACTGACTTATTGCCCATTTTCAGTTACGAGAGTAATAAAAGTGCTAACATTTTCAACATACAAAAGGCTCCATTTAGGACTAGTGCTTCGGTGCCTTATTTCTAGTTACAACGATGCTTTTACAAGGTTAATTGTACAGAAGAGGAAGCCAAGTCTTTGGGAGGTTAAGGGCCTTCCTTCCGCAAGACCATAAACTAAGAGGGTTCAGGAGGAAATTTCCTTCTCATGTGGACTTGTGTCAGCCACTAGTCAGGGCAGGGGCGGTGGGGACAGTGGGAGGAGCCAGCCCCAGAGTGGGCAGTGCGCGCAGGATCCGGGTGCTGGGCGTGATTGCGCCTGGAGGACAGGAGAACAGAATCCAGAGTTCTCAGGATGGAGACAGGCTGGTCTGGCCACAAAGGAAGGTACTGTGGGGTGGGGCAGTTTACAGGGTCAAGTTGAAGCCCAAGTTGTAGGAGACCTTCTAATTTGTGTTTTCTTTGAGGAAAGGCATATGCTGCGTGATAAATTCAGATTCTCCATGTGACAAAACATCAATAATTTGTGCAGCCAGTTATCATGCTACTCAAACTTGATTTCCAGAATATGGGCTATGTGAACACTCTCTATTTTCACCTAATTGTCGTCTCTGGGGGCAGAGAGGCGAGCTAGCCCCAAGAGG